TTGGGTGAGATATCGATATGAGGAGAATAAGGAGTGGAAAGACCCTAAGCTTGGGGATGGACGAGGCACCCCAAGGTAATATTCAAAGAAGACTCAAGCACCTAAGCTTGGGGATGCCCCGGAAGGCATCCCCTTTTTCATCTTCAAAACTATCGGTATACCTTACTCGGAGCTATATTTTTATTTGTCACATGATATGTGTTTTGCTTGGAGCGTATTTTCAATTTCACTTGCTGTTAGAATAAAATCATTGGATCTGAAATCTTGAATAAAAAAGGGGAATCCTCCCATCGCTAGTTGATTATTTTACTACTCAGTGATCTTCACTTATATCTTTTGAAGTAGTTTGTCATTTGCTCACGTGCTTCACGTATATTCTATGAGTAAATGATTGAATGAATTGAATATCATAAATCTGAATTTATATATGTTTCATATGCTTATAACATGGGGACTAATGACTTCACACATAATAAGTATAGGTAGTAAACTTATTGAAAGTTAGCAAACGCAAAATTGGTCACTTGAACAATTCATGAAAGAATATTAAAGGAAGAGAGATTTCACATATAAATATATTATCATGGACATCTTTTTTAGTTGAGAGCACTCATTAAAATATGACATGCTAAAAGGTTGGCGTTGGACAAGGAAGACAACGTAATGGGTTATGTTTTCCTATATCTGAAAAGTTATATTGTCTTGGATCATCCAACATGATGAGCTTGCCTTTCTCCCTCATGCTAGCCAAACTCTTTGCACTAAGTAGAGATACTACTTGTGCTTTCAAACATCCCTTAGACCAGTTTTGCCATGAGAGTCCACCATACCTACCTATGGATTGAGTAAGATCCTTCAAGTAAGTTGTCATCGGTGCATGCAATAAAAATTGCTCTCTAAATATGTATGACTTATTAGTGTGAAGAAAATAAGCTTTATACGATCTTGTTATGGAAGCAATAAAAGCGACGAACTGTATAATAAAGGTCCATATACAAGTGGCAATATAAAGTGACGTTCTTTTGCATTAAGATTTTGTGCATCCGACCATAAAAGCGCATGACAACCTATGCTTCCCTCTGCGAAGGGCCTATCTTTTACTTTTATCTTCTACCCTTATACAAGAGTCATGGTGATCATCACCTTTCCTTTTTACATTTGTTTTCCTTTGGCAAGCACTTTGTGTTGGGCTGATCCGGATATATATATCCACTTGGATGTAGGCGTTCATAAATTATTATTGTTGACATTACCCTTGAGGTAAAAGGTTGGGAGGCAAAACTATAAGCCCCTATCTTTCTCTGTGTTCGATTTAAAACTTTGGACCCATGAATATCACGTGAGTGTTAGCAATTGTGAAAGACTAAATGATAGTTGAGTATGTGGAGTTTGCTAAATCAAATCTCTGACATAGACCCTTCCTGAAAATAAGATGAATTGCAATTGTTTGATGACTGAGAATGAAGTTTGCTAGTTTTCAAGAAAGTTTATGATATATACTTTAACACGTGAATAGCTTGTTACGTGATCATGAAAAGTTTTATGAGATGAGCTACTGTTATGACATATAATGATGCTAGAAAAGGTGATTGAAATTATCATTGATCAAACTTGTGCACCGGCTAGCATTCACACTTCATAAATTATTTCTTTTATCATTTACCTACTCGAGGACGAGCAGGAATTAAGCTTGGGGATGCTGATACGTCTCCAACATATCTATAATTTATGAAGTATTCATGCTATTATATTATCCATGGTAGATGTTTTATATGCATTTATATGCTATTTTATATGATTTTTAGGACTAACCTATTAACCTAGAGCCCAGTGCCAGTTTCTGTTTTTTCCTTGTTTTTGAGTTTTACAGAAAATGAATACCAACCGGAGTCCAATTGACGTGCCAATTTTTGATGATTTTTTATGGACCAAAAGAAGCACCTGGACTAAAAGAGTTGGGCCAGAAGAGTCCCGGGCTGTCCACGAGGGTGGGGGGCGCGCCCACGCCCCCTGGGCATGGGCCCCTATCTCATGGACGATCCGGATACCTCCCTGACGTGAAACCTACGCCAAAAAATCCTATAAATACTGAAACCTCTGGAAAATAACCTAGATTGGAAGTTCCGCCGCCGCAAGCCTCTGTAGCCACGAGAAATCAATCTAGGCCCTCTCTGGCACCCTGCCGGAGGGGGCCAACGGTCACCGGAGGCCATGGGGGAGGATCCCTGAGGGGCCATCATCGCCATGAAGGCCAAGGACCAGAGGGAGAACCTCTCCCCATCTAGGGGGGAGGCCATGGAGGAGGAAGCGCAAGGGGGAGAACCTCTCCTCCGCTCTCTCGGTGACGCCGGAGTGCCATCGGGAGGGGAATCATCGCCGCGGTGATCGTCTTCATCAACATCACCATCATCATCACCATCCTCATCTCTTTTACGCGGTCCACTCTCCCGCACCCCACTGTAATCCCTACTTGAACATGGTGCTTTATGCTACATATTATGATCCAATGATGTGTTGCCATCCTATGATGTTTTGAGTAGATATCTTTTGTCTTTCGGTTGATTGATGATCTAGATTGGTACGAGTTGTATGTTTTATTTTGGTGCTGTCCTATTGTGCCCTCCGTGTCGCGCAATCTTGAGGGATTCCCGCTGTAGGGTGTTGCAATACGTTCATGATTCACTTATAGTGGGTTTCTTGAGTGACAGAAGTATAAATCCGAGTAAGGGGGTTGTGGTGTATGGGATAAATGGGACTTGATGCTTTAGTGCTATGGTTGGGTTTTACCTTAATGATCTTTAGTAGTTGCAGATGCTTGCTAGAGTTCCAATCATAAGTGCATATGATCCAAGAAGAGAAAGTATGTTAGCTTATGCCTCTCCCTCATATGAAACTGCAATGACGACTACCGGTCTTGTTAACAATTGCCTAGGATAATTCCGCACACCGATCCATCATTATTCCATACTCGCTATTTATATTATTTAGTAATATATTCTAACTTTATGATAACAAGAACTACTTTTATATTTTAGCTCTCCGATATCATGCAAAGTTATCCTCTTCATACCCACAACGTAGTTTTATTTCTCGTATCTAGTTGGAAGCAAACGTTCGGTGTACGTAGAGTCGTATTAGTGGCAGATAGGACTTGAGAGAATATTGATCTTACCTTTAGCTCCTTGTGGGTTCGACACTCCATACTTATCACCTCCACCTTTGGAAATTGCTACGATGATTCCTTGCACTTGTGGATTATCAACCTGCTCGCGGCTATTGCCCTCAACGCCCACGTGCTCAAACTGGTCAACCGCCTCGTCCGTGAGTTCTTGTGGCACGACAGGAAGGATTCCGCTTCTGGACACTGCGCGGTTAACTGGCGCCGCGTCTGCATGCCACTGCAGCTCGGCGGACTCGGCATCCGCAACCTGCGCCACACTGGGATCTCCCTCCGCACTCGCTGGCTCTGGCTTCAGGCCACGGACCAAACGTGCCCCTGGAGCCATCTTCCTCCCCCTGCCGACTCTGAGACGCATGCCATCTTCCGTGCTTCCACTCGATGGGAACTTGGCGATGGGCGCACTTGCAAATTCTGGACCGACCATTGGGTTCATGGCCAATCCATCGCCGAGATCACGCCGGCTATCTTTGCTATGGTGCCCAAGCGACACCGCCAACGTTGCCTCGTGGCCGGCGGACTCCAGGACCGGGCTTGGGTTCAGGACATCGTTGGCGCCTTGGGGCCCCTGGCGACTGTTCAGTACATTGAGCTATGGAGGCGTTTACTCCCGATATCAACCTCCGGGCAACCCGACATTCTTCGGTGGCGATGGACAGCAAATGGCGCATACTCTGCAAAATACTGCTACGATGCGCTCTTCCTCGGCTCCACCTAATCCCCGCATGCCACGCTCACCTGGAAGACTTGGGCCCCTCTTAGCGTCAAGTTCTTCATTTGGCTGGCCTTGCAAGACCGGTGCTGGACGAACGAGAGACTTGCGCGCCACGGACTGCCACACAGCCGCGCCTGCGCATTCTGCGACCAGGCCACTGAATCTATGCAGCACCTTCTCTCGCATGGTGTGGCACGATGTATTCTCCAGGCTACGAATCACCAGCAGCATTCCTCTCGGCCACGAGCCCTTCTTCGACTGGTGGCAGGCATCCACGTCCTCTGCCCCAGCTTCTCTTCGTAAGGGCACGGCCTCCCTTGTGATCATCGTCACCTGGACCCTCTGGAAGCATAGAAATGCCTGCACCTTCGACGACATCCGACCGTCAGTGACCGAGGCCTCTCGTGCCGTTCTGGCCGAAGCAGCAATGTGGGCCACGGCTAGCGCTAAAGGACTGCGCTCCTTTGTTTTTGAACCGCCTTGATCGAACCTTGTAACCGTAACTTTGCATAGGTCTGGCCACGAGTGTGTGGCTTGGCCAAGCGCATGTAAACTCCTCTCTCTATCAATGAAATGATACGCTCTATGCGTATTTGAGATTTTTTTTTTCAAAAACCACATGCACACTTTGAAAAATGTCAGGAATTAACAAGTAATAATTTTTTTAAATAAAAATCATGAGTTTTAAAATTGTGCATGCATTCAAGAAATATTCACGATTTGTTTTTACAAATTTTCAAAAAATTATAAATGCTCATGACTTAAAAAATAAAAGTTCTAGAATAGTTTTAAAAACCGCTGATGGATCTTAAAAAAATGTTCAATAATTTGAAAAGAGAAAAAAAGGGAACATGGCAGAAAGAAGAAAGCGTCCAGGGATGGTTCGATTTCAATTCAATGCCTCACGCGCGAATTGACTTACAACAAATTTTTCCAAGCAATTAACACATAGCTGGCTCTTTATTTTCAGGCAACATATCTCATGCATCCTGAGCGACTCAGTCGAGACGATGGTACAAAATAAGTGCAACAGGACAGTATCCCAAAAAAAAGTGCGACAGGGCAGGAGGTTCAGTAACCAACAGCTCCCGGCCGGTAGCAGAGCAGTCACTTGAGCGTGGCAAGGAATTCCTGCATGCTCCGGTGGCTGGAGCCGCCCGGGGCAACGGCCTTGGTCGCCTCCCGGCCGACCTCCTTAGCCCTCGCCGAGATCGCCTCGTCGCCCATCACCGCCTTCACCTTCTCCGCTATTTCCGCCGCGCGCACCAGCGAGCTCTCCGTGTCCCAGCTCCAGTGCTCCAGCCACAGCCCGAAGCCGGCGCTCCTGATCACCGTTGCTACCAGGCGCTGGTCGCCCAGCGTCATCGGCCACGCCAGCATCGGCACGCCGCACGCGGCCGACTCTGTCACCGAGTTCCACCCGCAGTGGCTCACGTACAGCCCCACGGCCGGGTGCCTCAGGACCGCCTCCTGGTCCACCCACTCCTTGATCACCAGGCCGCGCCCATGCACGCGCCCCAGGAACCCGTCGTCCAGCACGTTGTTGAGCTCCGCCGTGTCCTCACGGTCCACCACCGTCGTCTTCACCACCCACAGGAACCGGCAGCCGCTCGCCTCCAGCCCGGCGCCGATCTCGCGGATCTGATCCAGCGCGGCCGCGTTGCGGTTGCCGAAGGCCACATACACAACCGAGCGCGCCGGCTGCTCGTCGAGCCAGGCGCCATGTACCGCCTCCTTCTCTGTGCTCGTCGACTTAAGTGGGCCGACTGCGAACACCGGAGGGAACCCGGGAACGACCTTGCCGTCGCGCAGGGCGGCGAGTGCCTCCGGCTCCAAGGCGTCAAACGTGTTGAGGAGAATGCCGTCTGCCTCGGCGATCTCGCGGCCGTTGGCAATGAACTGCTTGGTAAAGAGGCTGTCGGGGTTGCAGCACGTTCGGGGGGTAATCGACCGGGATGCGTCCAATGCCGGGGATGTCGACGTCGCCGGCGAGGTGGTCGGCGTTGGCGCCGTCGAGATGGGTGGGGAAGTAGGCGAGGAAGGACAGCATGGTCGCGCAGGAGCTGAAGAGGATGTGGCACGGGAGCTGCAGCTCCTTCTTGGCTATGGGGATGACCTGGGAAGCCAGAGTGACGTCGGTGACGACGGCCGAGGCGCGTGGCGTGGCGCCGGCGATGAGCGGGCCGAGGAGATGGGCGGAGCGGCGCAGGGACTCCCACCGCAGGACGAAGGGGTCCGTGCCGGCGAGGGTGGCGTCGTCGAGCGGCAGGAGGTTGAAGTCGATGCGCCGGATGGCGGGGAAGGCGGCGAAGAGGGCGGCGAAGTGCTCGGCCTCGGCCTGCGAGACCATCGGCAGCGCGGTCACGACGGAGATGTCGACGTTGCCTTGGCTCGCGAGGGCGGCGATGAAGCGGGAGAAGGGGAGCAGGTGGCCCATGCCGGCGCTCGGGATGAAGACGAGATGCGGTGCGTCTCCGCCCTGGTCGCCGGAGCTCGGCTTCGCCACGAGAGCCATTGACGAGGTAGCTTGGTCTGTGAGTGCGAGAGTGACGAGTTAGCCTGGTTTGTGAGTGCGAGAGGCCAAGGCAATTATCGGTTCGTTTTAATGGCAGATCCATGGTAGCTCTGCAGCCGTGCTGCGTGTCCTTGTTGTCGGGTAGCAAGTCTCTGTCCTGTGTACATTTGTTTGAGTGATAACACTTGGTAGCTGAGCCATGTGGCTATTTATGCTCCTCCGTGGCCTTTATCAGCCGACTAATCTGCGTGGCCTTTTCGCGTGAACACTGCACATTCATTTTACGCCGAGCCCTCGCATCAAATTTGACTCATAGGGCGCCTCGACCTAAACCTCAGTGCCAAAGTACCAACGGCGTGTCTGGTTGCCGTTTGCTACGGTGCCTGCATCGCATATACTTCTCAACCCAGTCTTGTTAAGCGAAAACATGTCCTAATATGCCATCTGCAAGTTGTTTGATTGCATGCATCTAGTGTCTCTGCATTAGGTAATACGCAAGTGCACTTTGTTTGGTTGGCTGCATTGGCCCTAGCGGCACATGAACACGGCGTTTGGTTGCATACGGCGTACATGTTGTGCTTACCTTGTACCCTAGTTAGTGAGCTTACCCACAATGATCACATCTAGCACACATCCACCACAATGGCGATGAACTGGGCGAAGATGATGAAGTTCTTCAGTTTCAGCCCAAACCGACGATCCACCTTAGCACCTTCCACTTTGACACCTCCAACCTTGTCACTGTCAACACTGCTGTCTTCATGCTTTCGCACCCAGGCGTAGTAAGCTTGTTCTGCTGCCTGCCTAGTCTATAGTTGTTGTTGCTATACTATGCCATTGTGCATTGGCTTCTTCCCATGAACTATGAACCCCTGGAGCCTCACCGATGAACATGGCGTAGCCCTAGCAATTCACAAGAGCAAGAGTTGAAGCAGCAAATCAATGGAGCACACAAGTAGCAAGCAAAGTAGCACACAAATAACAATGGAGCAAAAGAGAAGTAAAACATGCATGATCATACGGCATAGCAAGTTCAACCTAGCACTACCTTAATGTTAACCTATCACCACATCCAAAAGAGGGTGTGGACCTACCACCGCAAGTTCACCACACTACAAAAAAAGACACATCCGTGACATTTTAGGCCGAACGAATTTTTTTCCTGTCATACTTATGACACTTCTCTGACGATAATTGTGACAAAACCCGGTATCATCATAGATGTGGTAGGCTCCTACTTCTATGACAAAAAATCATGACAGAAAATGGGATTTTCGTCCTGGGCGGGTCGGAGACGCAGCTGCATGACATTCTTTGGGCCGTCCATGACGGAAAAAACCGTGGTAGAAGCGAGGGCGAGGAAAATTTCGGCGAGTTCTTGGTTATGGTGGGTGGTCGGGGCCGAGCGATGCGCGTTTCTCTCGTACACGTACGTGCGTGTGTGCGAGGCGTTGGGCTCTAACTGAACCCGAGCGAGGCGTCGCCTAACTGAACCCGAGCGATTGCACTGCAGGCTACGCGTTACTGAACCCGAGTGATCGAGCGATTCCTTCTCTACTGCTGCTAACTGAAG